GTTTTTTTTTTTTGGCCAAGGTGAAGAAGGGCTCTTCCATTGCGACGATTGCTACTTGCTTTCAGGGTCGTAGCCATAAACCCAACTTTCGTCACCAGTGACAACCTTCGAAAGAAAGTTTGGATCCTCTTGAAGCTGTTGCTGAAGTTCCCTGCAGACTTCCAAGTGATGCTGCTTCTGTTCATTTTGCAGCAGTTGTGGCACAAACTTCGCTGCAATCCTCCTCATGTTCAGTTCCTCTGACAAAATTCGTTGACATGTACCGTAACTTAGTCCCAAGGTGTTACAGAGGTCTTGGATTATCAGCCTACGATCTTGCAGAATCAGATCCCTAACTTTCGCAACATTTTCTGGTGTTTTGCCCGTTGACGGCCATTCCGAACAATCATCATCATCAGTCAATGTTCAGCCACTTTTAAAACGCTTATACCAGTTGTAAGTTTGTGTCTGGCCTAAACTGTTTTCACCAAAAGCTTGCTTCAACATTTGGTGCATTTCTGCAGCAGTTTTCCCAAGTTTGAAACAAAACTTTATACAGACACGCTGCTCTCTCAGGTCAGCCATCGCAAAACCGCAAACTCACAGAAACATAACAATGGAAATACGTTCACCAACAATAAACCCAACCAATCAACTCAACGCCGCTTGCCACACTGATTCAAGAAGGATGTGTGAGGAGACACCTAGCGGTATTTCGGTGTACTCATAACCATTCACACGCAAAATTCAAATTTTGGAAACTTTTGGATTGCCCCACGTATTTTGTGTCACAGCTGAAACATGTCATAGTAAAATAAGATGTATTTGAGGCAGAAAATAAATGTTGCATTTAAGATGCAAGTAATGAAAAAAAAAAATATATATATATATAATATATGTGTATGAAAGTGTAATAATATTAACTCAACAGGATTCTTTTAAGTACAACATTAAAACAGTCTCGACTCATTTAGTCAAACATCCCAAGCAATGGAGGAGATGGGGTACAATTGTGGTTGGTTTTACCTTACTTTAGGCCAGCCGCAGAGGTTTTTGTGGCTGGAATGAGAGTGTTGATGGTCTTTTCTTCTTTTTTGTAGTTTATTTTGTGGTGTTTTCAGTATCTAAACTACATATTGTCAGATGGTAGGATGAATAATGAATTGAAAGAATTTTTAAGAAAGTGGTCATTGCATAATTAAAGTACTGGCCTGGCATTTTTCTGGAGGGACTGGGGGAACCCAGAGAAAATCTCAGTTGGGATGGCCAATGTCCCAGGCAAGATTTCAACCAAGCATCTCTCCCAAATTCAAGACTTGAAACTCACTGTTAGACCATCCAGCTTGGTGCAAGTTGATTACAAACAGCATGTTGGAAATGAGTAGCCTGCATGAAGATACTCTCCTGAAGGGAGTGCATGAGCATTAGATCTACTACTACTACTACTACTACTACTACTACTACTATTGCCGCCACCACTTTTAGTTCAGGGTCTAACTGCTTTAGCTATGATGTTGAGGCATAAGAAATTCTCTAAGGCTGTTTGCTGAGGCATGATGTTGTCATGTTACTGCTGTTCGAAGTGTGACATATCTGTTTGCTTATTGATATGTACTTGTGTTCTGTTGACAGTCATCTGAGGTTGGTTTGCTTCTGCAGCAACAAGAGAAGGATGGGCGCTTGGTGGCTGCAATCTGTGCTGGTAAGCGGACTTGATCAACCTTCTGGGCAAAGCAGTCAGCTCCATACTAGTGGACATCCTTCCATGGCCTGTTTAATCCAAACTTCATCCTCAGAAGATGTTTCACCAAAGTCTTTAAACATTTTTCCTATATGTTTTGAGCTTCCAGATGTGTGGTTCTAAGGCATTTCCCGAACAGCTCTTTTTATTTTTGCCATTTCCCATATTTGTGTTGTGCCCCAGGTAACTTGCTCGCCAAAACATCACAAAGTTTTTGTCTTTGTTCTGAAGAGAGTTAGATGCAGTACATGCACTTGCCTTGATTCATGCAGTTTTGTATCTTGTGTGTTGCAGCTCCAACTGCCCTGCAAGCCCACAATGTTGGTTTCGGCAAGTCCCTGACATCATACCCATCATTGAAAGAGCAACTGCAGGAGAAATACGCATACAAAGAGGACAGTGTGGTAGTAGACGGTTGGTAGACCCTGACTTGTAATCACTCACTCTGACTGATATGTCATTCATCCTGAGATTTTTCTCTTGGAAATGAGCATCATTGGCACCAGTATGAGCCCATAAATATAGGTAAAAGTAGAGAGTGATGAGTTCTTGTGCCCTATTTTCTTCGTCGAGTAAGATGATTGGTTGTAGGTTGGAAGGCTGAGGTTCTGTTCGCATTACGTTCCTCTGTGCTGGATACCAGGAACCCATGTTCTGTGATTCTGTCACTCAGAATGTGTGGTGCATAGACACAGGGACAACTATATTTGTAGGTTTTAAGATTGAGCATTTTGAAAAAGTCTGACTATTGGAGGAATATGTTGCGTCCATTGTCAGGGTTAAAGAGTAAGCCAAGCAAGAAACCAGGAAGAAGCAGGCAGGAATTAGAGCAAAAATGTTGTGCTTTTCCAAAACTACCCCATATCAACCCAGAAGACTGCTCTTGTTAATCACTGTGAGAATGTCGATCCAAAAACGGAGAAGTACTCACATGCTGCCAGTGTCATGCAGCATGTATATGGAAGAAAGTTCATAAAAGCTGGTACAATCAGAAGCCATTTCACCTATGTCTTTTTGATGCCTTGACTGACTCAACTCAATGGCTTCATGGTCCAGGTTCCTCTTGAGCAGCTATTCAGTTATTCATCCAGTAAAGAAATTCCATTCCTTTATCAAGCTTGGAGGATCATCACGATATTCAAAACAGCCTGGCATTGCACCCAGCACCTTCACATTCACTATTCTAATATGTGTGGAGGGATTGGAGGGATTTAAATCCCAGCCCTTAGCTCAGTGTGGGAGGAGTTTCCACTGGAGATTTAAGTTCAGACAAGCGAAATAGCACTGGCTTCAAGACTGGTAGTAATTCTGTTATTTTCCTATGGGAAGGTGACGCTTTTCATGTGACAGGTCATAGAGGCCCATGGGGTTGTGTGACGTTGAGGCTCCCACATTTTCTCAACTGTTGGCTCACAGGTGGCTCTGTTAGAGACTGAGTCAGCCCCAGGGCCGTGTGGCTGAAAGGATTAGGCCAATTGAAAAATCCAGTAACCTCACTGGGAACCGAACCTGTGACCTTCTGGCTCATAGCATAATGCCTCAGCCACCTATGATATCGTGTGCCTCTGTTTCTTCATGATCATGATGAAAATTACTGCCTTAAGAATAAGAAGACTTTCATTCAGGATATCTTCACTGTTCACAGTTGACAAATGTTTACTAGCAGCTGATTTCCTGTTGACAATTCCAAGATCATCTGAATCACATGCTAAATGATAGCCTCAAATGTCATCTAAAAAATATGCAAGTAAAATTCATGTGGTTCAAATACTACTCATGAGGTGCTCATCCACGAGCAATGCATGACACTCCACAGCAGCAGACAGAACTGCAGAAAGAATGTTCTGTGCACGTTACTCCATGCTGATGGGTTAATACTATCCTCTTACCCTAGTCTTGGAAGTGTGTCTTCTGTTCTTTCCTTGTGAAATACACATTGTACCTTTTGTTTGACAGTGAAGCCTTGTGTGGAGATGGATCATAAAATGGTGTGAAAGTTCCAGGTATCTGCCTGGCCTCACAGTAACACAGAAATATCTACATTTTTTAAGAGTAATGTCTTTTGAGATGTGCTGCCATATAGCCCTCATGAGGTTCACTACTGAACTACGTAGCACGCCCACAAAGTAAGTTTCCCACTCATCCCACAGCTAGCGAAACTTATATTGCGCGAAGCGACTGCGCGTACGTGATAGAGCAATGACGTAGCATGGCGCATGCACAAATGGAATTTCCCACATTCCCACAGTAGCATCATTGCTGCTGTTGAAGATGGAGGCTCTTATTCCAACTCCTGCCGACTGTTAAGTGCGTTCAGTGATAAAGTTTTTGAATGCACAGAGCATAGCGCCGATCAAAATTCATCGTCAGCTGTGCCGGGTCTATGGGCCTAACGTCACGAGCAAGCAGATGGTGCATCACTGGTGCAGACAATTTTCAGCAGGTCGACAAAGTGTGCATGATGAGAAGCGCAGTGGGTGGCCATCCATCATTACAGACGACCTGGTGGAGCTTGTGCGGGAACGCATTATGGAGAATCGTCGCGTCACAATTGCAGAACTCAGCAGTCATGTCCCGCAGATTTCCCGCTCCTTGTTGCATGAAATTGTCATGGAGCATCTGTTGTTCAGGAAATTGTGCGCCAGGTGGGTGCCGAAGCAACTGACACCAGAACACAAAACAAAGCGCATGGAGTCAGCATTGACCTTTCTGCAGCGGTACCATGATGACGGCGACAAGTTTCTGGACCGGATCATCACAGGTGATGAAACATGGATTGCAGACATTACCCCAGAAACCAAGCAGCAGTCAATGCATTGGCGGCATAGTGGATCTCCCTGTAAGATGAAATTCAAGCAGACGTTGTTGGCGCGGAAAGTGATGTGCACGGTATTCTGGGACAGGCGTGATTCACGACACAGATCGTAATAGACCCAGCAACATCAGAGGACGCGGAAAACAGCGAGACCTCCAAAAAGTGAAAAGTGCAATCAATATAATAAAATTGAACTTTAATTCATGAACTTTTTAACCAATAATATAATTAAAACTAGTTAAAGTGAACTTGATGCAGTGATGAGCGTAAGTAGGAAGTGACTGAATAACAAGTGAAAGTGAAAGCATAACTAGTGATCTGAATCGAAATTCGATTCGCAAATTTTAAATTTTAACTTTTGACATTTAGAATAATATTTTAACTTGTGTTTTGTGAGAGGAGCTTGATATATTATTGAGCGTGAGCCTGAATAAGATACAGGATCGAATAAGTGAGAAGACGAATGTGATTGCGTGTAATTATACAGCTGTGTTCGTACACCTGAGGATGACCTCTTGAGGTCGAAACATGTAGTATAATAATAATAAAAATATGTTGTGTGGTCGGTAAAATTGACTCTAATATTAATTACATACACAACAGGATGCAAGAAACAATTAAAATAATCTTCATTTTTCCTATAACTTCTAGTTCTGAAATGATACTAAGTGAATGGGTAACATGCCTTATTCAGAATAAGTCATTGATACTAAATAACAACATTGCCAGCATTTGTTATGAGAAATAGAATGGCACTTCGGGGCTACTCATGCAGTGGTCACCAGTGTCAGACAACATTTTGTCACAGAAGAACAACCAGAAAGGCAAAAGAGTGGTTACCACAAAACTTGCATGGCAACGAGCCCGTCTAGTTCATGTATGCTGTACCTGCATAAGGCAACAAACACATGTCATATCTCTCTCTATGTAATTTTGACCATGGAGCTCAGTTTGTGGCTTGTGAGTAGTACCAGTGTAATTCCATTATCAGGGTACAACCATTCAAATAAAATATTTTTTTCATTTCTTATTCCATGCAGGCATCCTAAATGTTCTGCCAACCCCCAGTCTGTTCACATATAATTCTAAAGTGCTGAAACTGCAACCCATGTCATTTTTTCATTTTTCTTGCAATTCACCACCCTTGGATCTAAAGATTATGTTTAGTACTTAATTTTCTTCCCCTTATTCAAGAAGCAGAAATGTCACCCGTATCAGACATATTGTGTATACACTTTTAAGCTTTCACAGCAAGGATGCAGTGCAGTCCTCGTGGGCAATCAGTTATGTAAGAATAGGGTTAGTATTTAACACTTAGAGCCTGCATCACCAGGGGTTGATGTGAGTGACACATGTTGGGCAGTTGTGGAATAACATGAGAATTGAGTACTAAGTGTCTGGCATGTGTTCCAGTTTACATTTACAGGCTCTCAGTAAACATAACCTGCCATACTTGTTCCAGGTAACTTGGTGACGAGCCGGGGCCCAGGCACAGCCTTTGATTTTGCTCTCGCCATTGTGGATACCCTCCTAGGACCTGGCGCTTCTGATCCTGTTGCTAAAGCAATGCTTAAAGTCTGAACTGCAACCTGTGAATTATTTGCGGTTGAAATACTCGTACATTGGTTTAACACATAGATAGCTCAGCTCTTGACTGTGGATGCCTGCCCTATGATGATAGTTTGTGAGCTATTTTGGAGAACTGTCAATAAAGTGAGTGCAGAGTAGGTTACAGGAGTCTGTTATCACACACTGATTCACCACCATCTTTAATGCAACTTAAAAATGTTCACAATCTCTCTTTAATTCAAAATTACATTAAAATCAGATCAATTGCTGCATGTCTCAGCCTGACTTTGCCATCCTCAGGCAACTGTTCACTTTTTGAAACTGTCACACTGCACTGGATCTTAATTCCATGCTGTTGCATTATCATTGTTCACACTAAAACACGTTTGTTTGAGAACGAAACTCCCTCTGTTCTGTGTTATTTTCCTTTTGCAGCCTCCATGTATGTGCACCCTTCATATGTATGTAGTTGACTGTATGTTTGTGTTACATTAAGTTACAGAAAGAAATGCGTTGTATTTCCATTTCAGAGAGTGTGTACAAGGTGTGGCAATAAAGAAACCGGATTCATGCTCTAACCCTTTATTAAAAAAAAATCAGACAGTCGAAATGTTATCCCCTTCAATGTAGTCCCCTCCCCGATCCCTACACCGCTCCATGCGAATTTTCCACTGTTGGAAGCAGTGCTGCAGGTCATCTTGTGTTATGCTCTTCAAGAGTTGCGTCGCTTTTGCTTTCACTGCATCCACGGACTCGAACCTGGTCCCTTTCAGCGCAGACTTGATTTTTGGGAAGAGAAAAAAGTCGCACGGTGCTAGGTCCGGAGAATACGGTGGATGTTCCATCACTGGAATGTTGTTTTTTGCCAAATACCTCTTCACAGATAGCGCGTTGTGTGCTGGCGCGTTGTCGTGATGAAGAACCCATGAGGCATTCTTCCACATGTCTGGTCTCCTTCGTCGCACACGTTCACGGAGGTACGTCAAAACATTTTTATAATAAACCTGATTGACAGTCTGACCTTCAGGCACCCAATCAATGTAGATTACCCCCCGGATATCGAAAAAAACAATCATCATTGCTTTGAATTTGGACTTGCTCATGCGCGCTTTCTTCTTCCTAGGGGATTTGGGGCTCTTCCAATGCATGGATTGTCGCTTAGTCTCTGGATCATATTGAAGAATCCAAGTTTCGTCACACGTAATTACGTTTTGGAAGAAATCAGGATCATTTTCAATGTTTTCAAGAGTGTCAACACAGCAATTCACTCGATGTTCCTTTTGCTGGGGGGTAAGGATTTTTGGCACCACTTTAGCACACACCTTTTTCATGCCCAGATCGTCGTGCAAAATCTGTCTAACACTTTCCTTATTGATGTTCGTAAGTTCAGAAATTGCTCGAATGCTCAGTCGACGATCTCTTCGAACAATTCTAGCGACCTTCTCCACATTCTCTGGAGTTTTCGCAGTGGGAGGACGGCCCGATTTTGGATCGTTCCCGACGTTTTTCCTACCCTCCATAAACTTCTTAAACCACTCGAAAACTTGCGTGCGAGATAGACACTGATCACCATATACTTCTGTCAACAAATTGTAAGTTTCAGTGGCAGATTTTCCAAGTTTTGTGAGGAATTTGATGTTAGCACGTTGTTCTGCATTAGCACTCAGCATTATTCCGACGGAGCTCAGAAACACGATCCGCTTCTAACAATGGTCGCGGCCAGACTAACCGATGCACGTGAATGAAACTTTGTGTGACGGTAGAGGGAAGTCCAAGGGTCAATGCCCTACCCTCCTCTTCGTCAATGACGTGGCCGGAAATGAGTCATAAAAGTAATCCGGGTTCTTTATTGCCACACCTTGTATGTTATTAGACCAAATTTGATTCCATCTTGTTCATGAAAAGGGGTTCCATTATGTTCACACATCTTCCTAGAGGTTAAGAAGGCATGGAACTTTATATCATGTCCACGCTACACCGTTATAAGTTATTGTGTAAGCATCATGTTAGAGAATCAGAGATAAAATGTTGGGAATAAGAAGAACATAGTTCAAAACCGACATCAAGCTATAGGTTCCCTCTGGCAACTATTATTTACTTGATCGCGCTGTCATTGGCAGTACCAGACACTGCCGTACGAGTGCTCCCACCTCAGAAATGAATTGTGTGCTTTCCTTAGATGGACAGAAGTGAGAAGGATAGTGCAGCATATATCTGAAGTCACCAGACACAGAGCAACAACACAGCATCTTTTCTTACTGATAAGCCAGAAGTACACTGACAGACTCACTGCAGTGATGATGGTCGTTGTTTCCGTAGGCCATATTTGGATCATCCTGTGGCAGAATGTGTATTGAGTGACAGGATGCCTCTTTTATTAATTTTACCATTGTTTTAATGAGAAGCACAGATACAAGATGAACCTAATATGAAGCAGTTCAAGAAGTCTCCTATGAATGTCATACCAGAATATTTACCATATTCAGAAAAGCCAGCAAATAAGTTTCCTTGAAGTTTTCTTAACAGAAGTATATTAATTTCTTGCTTCACTGTGTGCACCACACAGACTTCCTCTTGACTCAGCAACAGTGAAAGTCAGGACAGACTAATCATGTCCACCCACAAAACCTTCAGATGCTTCCCTAAATTCTGTAGAATCAGGAAGCAAAATTGTGACAGCAACTTTTATGTCTGATAAAATTAGCAGTTTCCACTTTTACCCCTTTACACTAACAGCTCTTAAGCTTTTGCTCTTTAAGTTAATGACACTTCCCAGATTGGTTGATGCTTGGCCTTCTCAGCTGTTCCCAGGGAGCACTGAAGATTACAAATTTGTACCTCAGAAGTAAGCACTTTTAAGTCAAATTGAGGTTATTTTCTAGCAATTCTAATGTAGAATGAAATTCATTTCATGGTGTGGAGCACTGATCTCTTTCAGTGAATGAGTAGCAAGGACTCAAGTGTAGCAAGTTTAATGTAAAAGATTACGTATGCACGTTTCATTCAGCCACTGCTGGTCATCATCAAAATGCATAGCCAACACTACAAAGAAATTCTTCATATGTGTTGAATATAGGTTGTCAATAAGGGATTTCTGCTCTTAGAATCAGGAGTAGACTAAAATATTAATGTAATTTAAATAAGTTACATTGTTAAAAATAATTAGTATCAGTTTAGATTAATTAAAGACAGCCTCTGTGGTCTAGTGGTCAGAGTTCCTGACTAAAGATCCAGAGGGCCTGGGTTCGATTCCTGGCGCTACTAGATTATCAGAGAAGTAGTTGGTCTGGAATGGGGTCCACTCAGCCTCATGAGGATAAGTGAGGAGCTATTTCAAGGAAATAGTGGCTCCGGTCTAGAAAACCGAGATTAACGGCCATGGGGATCAGTTGCGCTGACCATGTGGTACCCTCTATCCGCTAAAGTTGACACTAACTTCGCTGACAAATGGCAGTTGCTCGGTCGGTATAGTTCACTTGCGGACTAAAACTACGGAGTTTTTTAAGATTGATTAAAAGTCATGTTGTATAAATACATGAACAGCAGTTGTTTTTGTACTGCTGGTGCATAGAATGTCATGTGTAGCTGACTCTGTGTCAGACTGTCTGTGTGATGTGTGTTTGGTGAGGGCTGTGGTAACATGCAGGACATGCAATAGTGAACTACAGAGAGAACATAGAACCTGAAATGCATCGTTTTTGTGTTTTGATATGCCTTGGCTACATGGAGGCTCATGGACAGTTGGTAAACTGCACTGCAACATCTTGTCAACCCACAGATATGATCAGGTTTCACTCTATATACAGACAATTTTTGCATTTTTGTAAACATTGTTAGATTGCAACATACTGTATAAGTTTGATTTGTTTCATTCTGGTCCGTCACACTAACAATATTATAAAAAGATAAAACAGTTTCGTCCAGTGTGACTGGTGAAGATTTTTCTTACTTCAGTTCTTCATGCCCTTACATGTTTTGGTCCTTAGAGACCATCATCAGAGGGACATCAATACAGTTTGGAAACCACTATTAAAATGGGTGTTCTGAGCGTTAAAATATATATACATATAATGCTGACAATACACAAATGGATACAAAATCCAAAATTTTCACAACTACAGCAGCTGTCTTGATATATATTTTTATTTTATTTTATTTATTTTTTTTTTTTAATTTTGTTAAGTTAGAATTTATAAACCAAATGGGTTCGTGTCCTCTCTTTTATCACCTCTCTNAGACCATCATCAGAGGGACATCAATACAGTTTGGAAACCACTATTAAAATGGGTGTTCTGAGCGTTAAAATATATATACATATAATGCTGACAATACACAAATGGATACAAAATCCAAAATTTTCACAACTACAGCAGCTGTCTTGATATATATTTTTATTTTATTTTATTTATTTTTTTTTTTTAATTTTGTTAAGTTAGAATTTATAAACCAAATGGGTTCGTGTCCTCTCTTTTATCACCTCTCTTGACGGGGGCCGAACTTGTGCCACCTGTCTTTCTTGAGAAGAAGGTTCTGGAAATATATTATGGACATTGTATTATTTCAGCAACCCTAATATTATACCACTTGAGGAAAACACTAAAAACAAAGAGATTAATACTGTTATTAATATAGCACTAAATAATGGCTATATAAAGGAAGACATCATACAACTACGTAGCAAACTTAAACAAAAGAAAAGTAATTTGGATAATAAAGCCGAAAAAGAACAAAAATGGGTCACATTTACCTATGTGGGAATTACATAACGAAAACTCACAAAACTGTCCAAAAACGATAACATAAAGATGGCTTTCAAAACAACTCATACTATAGGTAAACTGATAAATGAAAAATGAGAAACCCCTATGAACAAAGTGGGATATACAAAATAATCTGCCAAAGCTGCCATAAAGTATACATCAGTCAAACTGGTAGAAATCTAACAAGGTACAAGAAACACATAAGAAACATAAGACTAAACAAAGACGAATCGGCATATGCCCAACATATACTAAACAAACGCCACCAGTACAGACTGATGACAGTAATCATGGAAATTATTGAGAAAACCAAAAAAAGGAAGCATCATGAATATAAAAGAAAACTTCCATATATATATTGCATTAAAAAGCTCAACAAATTGATAGAAAAACAAAAACACACAAAGGAAAGTAATAACCAACATAACATGTTCAACATCATAATAAAACATCAGTACACACCCAAACTAACGTCACAGGCACAAGAAGTATAAATACGCGGCACAACGCACCCTAACACAGCACGCCATGAACAACCACAGGACGACATCAAAGGTAGGACAAAACAACCGAACTTTAAAAAAATTGAGAAAAATAACATACTGCTGAAATAATACAATACCCATAATATATTTGCAGAACCTTCTCAAGTAAGACAGGTGGCACAAGTTTGGCCACCATCAGGAGAGGTGATAAGAGAGAGATGAACCCATTTGGTTTATAAAATCTAACTTAACAAAAAAAAAAATATAATACATCAAAACAGCTGCTGCAGTTGTGAAAACTTTGGATTTTGTATCCATTTGTGTATTGTCAGC